TCCATCGCACGTCGACTACACCCTCTGCGCCACCTTCTCCGGCGAAGACCACACAGCGACGGCGACAAGCACACAGCGCCGGTGAGGAGAGGTAAGTTTCTGCGTTTTTTTTTTCTGTTTTGGCTTTTGCTTCTTGAAATCAAAAATCCTTTGATGTTTGTTGTCAAATTACTGATTACATGCTGAAATCAAAGTTTGAAATTACTTATTTCATTACTCTTGGATTCAATTAGATTGAAGGATTACCATAAAATCAATTGACATGAACTCATGAGATGAACTAATGTTTGAATATGTTTGTACATTCTTGTGTGAAATCAGAAATTAAAGATTGTTATATGCTTATGAGATCAAAATTTATTTTGTATGATGAAATCACATTTATGTGTTCTTGTTTATAAAAGAGTGTTTTATGTTGTTGAAAATATGATGAAATCACATTTATGTGTTTTTGTTTATAAAAGATTGTTGTATGCTTATAAAATCAATTCATAATGTGTTTTTGTTTATAAAAGATTGTTATACGCTTATGAGATCAAAATTTATTTTGTATGAGGAAATCACATTTATGTTTTTTTGTTTATAATGTTGTTGAAAATATGATGAAATCACAATTTTGCTTGATTTATTTGTAAACATGTGTTATGTGGATGATTTATTTGTAAATGTGTGTTATGTGAATGATTTAGTTACTTTTTTTTTCTTTTTTACAATAGACATGACGGATAAAAGAACTAGGGTTAGTTGGAAGTCGGAATTGGTGGACAAAACCTTTTTGGAAGCGTGTATACAAGAATTAACAAGTAATGGCCGGGAGGGTAGTGGCCTAAAAGCAAGCTCATGGGCTGTGGTCGCGGAGAAATTGAAAACAGATCATAATTTTGTTGTCGACAAAAAACAAATGAAAAACCGATACGACTATTTAAAAGCAAAGTATGCAGTGTGGTTAAAACTTAAAAACAAAACAGGAAATATTTACAATCCCGTAACAAATTCTTTTAACATGACTAATGAGTTGAAAGAAGTTGGAAAAGAAATTATCAAGGCTGCCAAGCATTCATGGAAGCAAATAATCTTGACAAGGAGATGGATGCTTGTATGGCGAAGTTGACAAGCTTGGAGTGGGGAGAATATGATCTGAAATACACCACTGCTCTTATGTTATTTGCTGAAAGTGCTGGCAATAGGAAAATTTGGTTGCGCCTTAACTTGTCAACTTGTGAGTCGTGGGTAGCAAATGCGGGAAGAAAGTTTGGATTAGTTGGTTGACTTTAGTATGTTATGGTTCATTGTTTGACATTAGTATGTTATGGTTTATTGTTTGACTTTAGTATGTTATGGTTCATTGTTTGACATTAGTATGTTATGGTACATTGTTTGACATTAGTATGCTATGGTTTAGTTATGTTATGGATTGTTTTCTTAGGTGCACTTATGTTATATGAATTTATATGTTATGGAATGTTATGCTTTTAGTATTTACATGTTACGGTTTGTTATGTTATTGATTGTTATGTTATTGATTTAAATGTAATTTTTATTTGACATCTGACAGGACACATGGATAAAGAAGGTGACTTTTTATATTTCCTTATATTCTCGTGGTATTGGTTGATGTTGGTCCGACAAAGGCAAAGAATAATTAAAAGAATAAGAGCTAGCGAACAGGTAGCAAAGGGGTATGTGTATACGCAAGATTTGATACACGGATGTCCTATACAATGTTACGATATGATACGTCTTTCACAAGATGCATTTGTACTATTATGCAATCACTTTACAGAGAGAAATTGGTTGCAATGTAGTAGGATGATAAGCGTTGAAGAGAAGATGGCTATGTTTTTACATGTTATAGGACATAATGAACGTTTTCGAGCTGTTAAAGAAAGATTTCATCACTCCACACAAACGATTCATCAATGTTTTCATGAGGTCTTACGTGCAATGATGTGTTTTGCACAAGAAATTATAGTACCAACCTCGTCTACTCCAACAAGAAATACCTCAGAACGACATAGACGGCTAATGCACATATTTCCCGGAGCAATAGGTGCACTAGATGGAACACTTATTCATGCAGTTGTGCTCGTTGATCAACAAACTCGTTATAGGGGAAGAGGAAAAGGTTAATGTTATCAAAATGTAATTGGAATTTGTAATTTTGATATGATATTCACCTTTGTATGGGCTGGATGGGAGGGCATAGCACATGATTCTAAAGTTTTGAAAGAAGTTGCATTTAACCCGACTTCCGGATTTCCATTCCCTCCACCAGGTTTGTATCTTTACTATATGTTTTATTATCTATATTATTTATATGATAAATTTATCAATCATCTACAGATAAATATTACCTTTGTGATGCTGCATACACCAACACCCGTGGATTTATGGCTCCCTACCGCAATACTAGGTATTGGTTAGCAGATTTTCGAAGAAACAAAGCTTTAACTAAGGAAGAAAGGTTCAATCATGCTCATGCACAACTTAGAAATATCATTGAACGTGCTTATGGTGTATTGAATGCGAGATTTCCAATTTTAAAACGAATGGCTCCTTATCCTTTTCCAGTGCAAAGAGATATAGTCATTGCTTGTGTTGCGATCCATAATTTTATAAGGAAATACGATATTCAAGATGACTTATTTACGAACTTTGAACAAAACACTATGGTTACTCCTAATGTGGGTGGTGGAGGAAGTGAGGGCCAAAACATAGAAGGCATAGAATGGGGTTTAGAAGCCGTTGACTATATGACTACTTGCGTAACCAGATTGCTAATCAGTTACTTTCAAATTGTTCACGTTAAATGATATACTTTTTTATTATGTATGACAATTTGTATTTGGATTTTGTATTACACTTTGTATTTGGATTTTAATTGATGTATGTTTAATTTGGATTTTATATGATAATTTGTGTTTTTATAATTATTTTATTCAGCACAAGAGACAACATAAGGGTAATATGGTCATTTTTTTCATTCAGCACAATCATTCAGATAAATTATCAAACAGCATAAACTCAGTCAGATATGAACTCAGTCAGCATTTCTAACCCAGTCAGCTTCTAACCCAGTCAGCTCTAACCCAATCAGCAACTATCAAACGACCCCTTACATTTCACTTATTTTTCTTGTCATTTATACATTATTATAGAAATAATAAGATCACCATTTACCAAGAAAATGTTTTTAAAACTCTTTTTAACAAAAAGGTTAAATTACACAAACCTTATATCACAATTAGATACCAGACAGAAAGCATCATACGTATTAGAACTAAATATTAGCATCATTATATAATAGGTAAAAAGCCTCCATCTGTTAATTGGAACATTACTATCGCTTCTAAAGAAAAATGTTGGATTGGTATTGGTAGTTTAGAATCTCCTACTCATGTGTTTATTCGAAAGTGACAATAGCGGTTTGTAAATGAAGCACCAGTCCTTATGAGTTAAGATTATCTCAAAGTTGTTTGGGTATATCAAGGAGACTCGTAGATTCATTAATAACAAGACTCCTTTGGATAGAGTTTGTGAAGCGAGTTGGAACCGATGTCTCACTAAAGATTAATATTATTGTTTGGCATACGATGCTTAATAGACTCCATAGGAGATTGAACTTAAGCCTTAAAGGTATTGAAGTTCCTTCTTTGTTGTGTCCAATTTGCTCTTCTTAGTGGAAACCATATTCTTTGTTGTGTCCAATTTACTAAGAAACCATATTCTTTGTTGTGTCCAATTTGCTCTTCTTAGTGGAAACCATATATCATGTGTTGCTTAGGTGTGAGTTGGCAACCAATTTATGGCAAATGGTGAATTAAAGACTTGTTACTTGATGGTATAGTTAATTTTTCTTTTAATTGGTTTATTCATAGAAATAATAACGTTAATACTAATGAGCCTGAATGGTTCCATAATCTAATTTTAGCCAATAAGAAGCTAGAAATTAATTACACACAAATAGCTAAAATGGATCCAAAATTCAATTTTAGCTTTTATTGTGTAATTGTTTTCTAGCTCCTTGTTAATTAGCTCCGTTATGAAATTCGACTGTTCAAAAAAATCGTTTAACTAGCTACTTTTATATTAAGAAAAAAAACTCACATCTGTTCTACATGAAGGGACGTTAATGAAGGAGATAGGGTTAAATTACTTAAAGAAATGAAGGAGATGAATTATAAAAATAAATAAATAAAATAAGATGTTGGTCATATTACATGATTACTTTAATTCCTTTTGACAAATCTGAAGACCAAACAAAAAACAAATTATATTCCATGGCATAACAAATTCCAATTCCTTCATATTCGAATTCCAACTCCTTTTATAGATTTCACTCTTTTCAAAAATATTCAGCTAACCAAATGTCCCTTATTATTCCTTCAGAACGAGGGAATTGAGCCCTAAAGCTCCTCATTTGAATTTTAAGTTTGCACCATTCAGGTAATCATTCCAATTGCACGAATTTGTGAGCTTACCTAGGGTTTTTTTAATTACTTCCAAATTCATCCCCAAACCCATATGAGCAAGATCAAACAAATCTTTCTCATCAAACCCATATGAGCAAGATTCATCAGACGAATATATTTCTTTTGCACCAGTATCATAACAGATTCATCATAGCTATGAACACTATCCAATTATTCTACTAACTAAACCCATAGGCAATGTGAGGATATTTGACACGTAACCAAGAAGGATCACTAACTAATGCATCATGGGTTCATTTACATGATTAATAACAATGGTATCCGATAACGAATCATGACATATACAGATACCATTTCCAAACTCAAAAACAGAGAAAATCAGCCGAGGCTGTCATGAAGATGAATATAATCACAACTTATTTCAACAAAAAATACTACTGCTATTAGTATAATGTATAAGAATCAAAGAAGAATAAACGGGTTAAGAAACCAAGCCCTTGTTAATTAGAACATGAAATTTGATCAACTAATTCGGAAAAATATCACCTCATTCGAGCAAAATCACATTTACTTGAACTCAAAAGTCGGTGGCAATGGGGAGTCAAAACTCTCCAGAACTTCAGTCTTCACCTTCGGAATCTTTTCCTCTTGTTTGCCGCCAAACAGGCCACCAAACCAAGATGAAGGCGTTATCTCAGCTTGCGAGTCTTGATTAGGCAAATTAAACCCTGGAGTCATATTTGGAGCTGATTGTGGCGCATCTTCGATCATCACAGGCATCTGCTGTTGAGCGCTCATAAACTTATTAAGCATGATCCCAGCCCCTTCAATCATGGCTAACAGAACGCCACCAAAAAGAGCAGATCGAGCGGCGGGGCGGAAACCCTGGCGCATCTGAAGAAAGCCTCCTGTGGCGGCACCGGCGATGATCGAGTTCCATGGATCCTCCTTCTGGCGAACGTACACCATGGTGCAATCGAAGGTTGAGAACAGGCCGCCCCATACGGCGAAGCTTCCGCCAACACGTGGTGCGTTCATACGGACTGCTTGTGCACCGCCGATGAAACGCTCTCCTTTCGGTGAGTTGTAGATTCCTTTCAGGAAATGGAAAGCCGAACCTCCGACGGCTCCCATGCCGAAGGCGCTTCCGATGTCATCAAGGATGCGATCTGGGCAGGGTTCTCGGGAGGTTTCGGGAGTAGCCATTCTCGTCGATGATCTAGAGAGACAAATTAGGGTTTACTGGGGTTTTAATTTGAAAGTGGAAGTGTTTCTACTTTCTTGGAATGGCCGTCCAATAGCCCCAGTATATTGTTATAATGGCATAAATGGTCCCTGAAAATAAACATTGATAGAAAAGAATTTCTTGTCCCGGAAGCAAAGGAATCAGAAAAATAAAACATCAAAATAATTATATTTCATTATGCATGGTTTTGATTATATTTTTGATATTTAGAATAACAGAATTACTTGAACAGTATTATTGTATTTAGTTAATTTATTTTGTAATTAGGTTAGGGAGTTATGTATTATACAGATCGATTTTAAAAAATAGAGAGATGTAAACATAAAACATTTATAAAACGAGATTTTCCAATAAAATATGATTGAAATAAGAAATAAGCATGTATTTTAAATAATAATTCAATATTGTTCAAGATAACAAATAAAATTGTCATAAGTTACATATTTTCAATATAACATAGATGTTATATTGTTAAGTATTTTATCATTATCTAAAATTTATAATTTTAATACAAGAACATTATTTTTTTATATATTGTTAGTACTAACTTATGGGTTGGAAAACATGAGAGTTTAAGACAATATAAAACATTTGGTCAGTATAAACTTTCTCCACGGTCATCATACTCTGACAAACAAAGATTATCTAAACTTAGGTATTCCTTTCCATATTCTAGAATAATAAACAAAGACTATTTAAACTTAGGTATTCATTTCCATCTCCTAGAATGACAAATAGAGACTATCTGTAACATATCAAATTTCACAACCATATTTTTCATTTTTAAATGAAGTAAAATCATTGTTTCCAGGAAAAGCTAAATCAAAAACCATAAGTATCAAAATACAATCATCCAAAAAAACAGAGTGTCATAAAATGCGAAATCACAAAATCTGCCAATGTAAGTGTACAATCAAATTTTCGCCTTCCCACGATCATCTGAAGTACCTGAAACATATTTAAATCTACAACTGTAAGCGCAAAGCTTAGTGAATTCCCCCAAAATATCAAATAAAACACAACATGATAAATAGTTATGGGTTATCAGCAACCCTGAGACTATCAGCAGTCTTGAGGGCTACTAGCAGTCTTACGGACTCTCGGCAGCCCTATGGGTTATCAGCAACCCTATAAACTATCAGCGGCCCTGGAGTTATCAGTAACTCAATAAACATACATAACAGCAGTTAGCAAATAAGACTCGGCTAGTCTAGCATGCACCCTACTATGTCATAGGTAATATAGTGAGAAGACTCACCTCAAAAACAACAGACTAACACAACAGCTCCCTGATGGTGAAGACCGGTACTACGAGACACCTAAACACAGTATATGAATATCCTCTCGGTCACCCTAAAACCTTTAAGTTGGCCAAAGTCAACAATGGTCAAAACGTCAACGGTCAAAGTCAACCCCAACCGACCCCATACCGTAGACACTCTTTGGCCACGCCATGGCAGCATTAGGACAAAACAGTCGTGAGGCTGCCTGTTGCACATAGTGGTGGTCAATCTGTCATACGTGGGAACTGCTCTGGACAACTTAATTCATTAAACTCTTAATCCTTCAAGTTATACGCTAAAACTTCCCATAAGGCTTTATCCTCTCCAAATCATCATAAAAATCATTTATATTTAGACATGCATGTCCAATGAATGTCTTGAGCACAAGTTAGGTCAAAATGGAGGAAAATGAGATCAGGATCTCATGCATGAACCCAAAACTCAACACCTCTCCATATCTAGAACAATAAACCACAAAGGAACCTCAAGGACCCATAAAGTTATCAACTTTATATAGTCAATGCACTCAAACCATCCCAAACATGAAAGAAAGTGGATAAAATCCAAATCTAAAATGTTTGACACATAAATGCAAGACCTTGAGAACTTACGAGAGTCCTAAAACAGCACAAGATGATGAGGGAGAGGTTTTCTTGCAGAAACAATGCACCAAGAACACCTTCTTCTTCAAGAGGCTAAAATCACCACAAAGAGCTCATAAGGTCAAAAATGGAGATTAGGTTTCTTCAAGGCTGATGGGAGGTGACGGAGGCTGAGGATGTGAAAACCCTATCCATCACATCCCTTAAATATGGCCCAAAACTCAAAAAATTAGGGTTTGTACTCTAGCAGCCACCACGTCGTGGCCATAACCTTGCCACGTCGTGGTGCACAAGAATGATGTGCTTTTCATAAGGTCATGAACACATTGTGGTGTACCCTCTACCATGTCATGGCCATCACAAAACCCACATTTTACTTCTTTAATTGCTAAAAACATAGATGAATCATTTACCGGGAATAGATGTTACACTATCTAAACTTAGGTATTCATTTCCATCTCCTAGAAAAAACCGATAGCATACTACCGTTTATTTATTGAACGAATTCATTTTCAGTGTAAGTATTTATCTTTAAAGTTAGTAGGCAATTTTCTAAGATTTCTTGAGTACTGTCGGATTCACCGTTAGCCATTTCTACTAAGTAGAGTTCATTTAGTTTTCTGGACTTATCGCTTAACAGTTGCCTAAACTTAAGGGTAATAAAAATTTTATCAGCACCCGAATCGAAAAGTATAGTTTCATATAGACCGATAACAAGAAATGTACCAATTACCATGGATGGGTCCTGCTTTAGTTCTTCCCAAGACAAGGTGTTCGCGTTACTGATACCCAATGTTTTGGTATGACTGTTCCACCATTACAAAGCAGCGTCTACAAAGGTGCAGGTGGCGAACTTTACTTTGTTATCCTCGGTGAAAAGATGATCTCGAATACCGATTCTTTTTCTCGATCCATCGGGTTAGTCCCATGAATCCCTCATTCCCATAAAAAGACTTGGGTTTGAAATTTATAAAATCTTTGTATGTATAGGCCCTAGGAGGACCTCTTTTATCTCCTCTAGAACTATCACCTCCCGTTCCCCCACCCTGACCTCACCCAGTGTTTCTATTTGCTTCGAAGTTTTCCATTGCGTCTGCGATGCATTAGGCTACTAATGCCTCTATGGCTGCCTAATCCATAGGCGTGGTGTTCTGATCTAATTGGGACACTTGGCTGGGTTTGGATCTTGGGTTTGATCGGGTTTTTCTTGTTGGTATCATTTTCTTGATCCTATAGTTAGTATCAAGGTAAGTGCTAGTCATTTGTAGTTTTTGTTAGTTGTTTGAACACATAAAGGTAATATATTTGTGATAGTTACTATAATTGGGAAGAATCCTTTTTGCAATTTTATGTGTGTCACACAATACAATAAGAGATCGCAAATATTAATAAAGTAAGTTTGTTAGTACACATTTAAAAAAAACATTTCATTTCATGAAACCCTAACTTTTAATATTCATATGTTTCTTACGTACATCGTTGTTTTTACACAGTGATTTCCAAAACCACTCAAAAAGTGTGGTTAGGATAGGAAAAGTATGGTATTTTATAACAAAAGAGAAAGTGTACTATAATCTTGCTTACAAACGTTTCCACATATCCTAACCCAGAAATATCTCTCCTAGTAATCCATGCTAAGGCTATCCACTAAAACCCAAGGTATACAATCAAAAGTGCAATCAACTGCACTAGCTGCTGATACACATAGTCGATCCTCACATCTGAGGCATACATTACTGCCTCGGCCATCACAATCCTCTGCTCTAACACCCTAGTGTGGAGCTCCATCTCCTCAATCACCATTTGTTGTACCTGAATCTCAGCATGTGCCTCCTCTAGATGATCGTAAACAAGTAGGGACCTCATCTTAGAGATCTCCCACTCCTCCTCTAAACACTTAATCCTCCCGGTCATGCATCTAATCTCACTCCTTAATAGTCTCATTTCCTCTTCCAAAGAGAGAATCTTGCCTGCATTTTGGTTGGTGCGAGGAACTATCATAAATATTGTCTCCTCAAAAGGGGTCTCATAATCAGTAGTAGGTAGTCGAGATCGGGAGGACTCCCACACTTCATAATGGAACCCAATTCCGTCTTCTTCCTGTCACTCCTTGACTTGTGGTGTCCACTGATAAACATGACATGGCTTCTTGGATGGTAGTGGACATGATGGGAGTGGTGCAAACCTTTTCCTTGAGGGAAGAGGAGTCGACTTTCTTGGGGTATTTTTAGTTCAGGGTCCCATGATGTATAGCCTGAAAGATTTTCAGGAAGGTGGTGTAAGTGATGATAAGACCTCCATGGATGATGTAATGATGTCATCAACCTCCTCTAGTTCATACTCGGAATCTGGTTCTAAGTAATCAACATGACCAGACTCCTCACTGGTAGAATTATCTTCAGATAGCTCAGAGGTATCAGAACCTATAGCACCAACGACCTCTTTCTCCTCCTCATCATCCTCAGTCGCCTCCTCATTTGAAGCCAATGGTGAGAGTAGCATCGAGACCTCTGGAAATTGTGTGTCGTCAAGTTCTGTCAGACTGGGCACTACCTGATCCTCCTTCGGGTAGGGAACCATTATCTAAATCTCCATATCAACCATGGTACTCCAATAATCCTGCATAAGACATAAAACATGATAGATAGTGTGAGAATAAAAAGATAAAATTATTTTTTCCATTATAAGTATGTAATAGATAGTACCTGTGTCTCCTGTGACTCCCTACATGGGTATGTCTAACACATGATTTGGTACTAGACTATCAATCCAGGAATCCTTCGACAATGTTATTCAAAGCTAAAACTCAAATCCAAGAATCCTCTAAGCCTCTAATCCAAGAATCTTCTCCAATCTAAGAATACTCAAGTAATCAAACTAAGTCACCAATCCAGAAATCCTCAAGTGTTTAGTTTGCCAACTACCATATCTAAGTTTAGTCGTGTGTCGCTCGGACCATAATAAAACTTAGTTTCACATTCTAGGTCTATTTGTGGTACGGTCGATGTAACATACCAACTCTATATATTGTATTTTTCCTAAAACCTTGAGTTTATGATTTAATGGATTCTTATT